ATGTGTTGGATCACATAATATTTCAAAAATTTTAACTTTTGAGTATAGATGATCCGCACTGTATACCTATCTAATTCTCGGGCAAAAATAGATTAATACTAATACTCACTGATTTATAGACAGATATCTGATTGATATTAAGGTAATAGTTGGCGAAACATTGTCACAACATTCACACAATAAAAAAACCCCGTTATGACCTCTTCAAAACTATTTTTTGGATACAGAGTGTTACGAAAGTAATTGACCTGTAAATTTGTTTTCTAAGTAACCAAAATCCAAAGCAACATTATGAAAAATAATATCAGAGGGTTAAGAGATTTTAAATTATTACATGTAAAAATTTTGAAGCATATTATTATGTAGGTTTTAGAGCAATGATTAAAAACTTTACATTAAAACTTTTCTTTTTTTTCAAAAACAAGTAAATTTCTTTTATTTTAATTGATGAAGTTCTAAAAAATATGGACACATATAATTTTATATTCATAATCCTCAGAATATAACCTACGAATTGGTATGTTTTTTAATACAATTATTATGTGTGTTTTTGTGTTAGAGCGATTGTTAAAAAATTCCATAATTTAAAATGAAGACCTTACAAAAAAATAGGGCGCAATTCGATTTTTTGTCAGGCCAATTTTTTTCGTAACACGCTATATAAGACGAATGGGCTCGTTCTCGTTAAATAAAAAACTAATTTTTTTTAATTGATAATTCGAATACAGTAAAAATAAATACAATAATAATAATACTAATAATAATAATAATAACTAATAATAATAATGATTTAAATAATTTTAATAGTATATTAATACATAAAATTTTGAAAAGCAACTAAACATAGTAAAAATATTAACCTTTTTAAGGTGCAGAACTATCCTAGAGTAACTTTATATGTGACATACGTAGTCTGAACTACCACAGGTTTGGCCTGCTTGACAGCAAAAATTAACAGTTTCACCGGTGCAACAAATTTTACCTGGTTTACAACAACCATCACCACAAACTGGATCACTAGACTGACATCTAATATTGCATTTATCAGCTAAACATTCTACACCAGTAGGACAACATCCTCCAGATGGACATGGAGAATAACCGTTTGCACAACCCTTCTCCCTTTTCACCAGAGATGAGTTTGCATTTTCAGCAACAATTCCTTCCTTCCAACCTGAAAAAAGAGGAACATCTCTTTTCCGTCCCAGATTTGCCCCAGTGACAGCAAAGATGTTGAAAACTATGGTGACGAGAACAAGAAGAATTAATGTAAATTTCATGATGATTTTTGTTTGTGAGTGTTTGAATGATTGAAATTTTTTTTTAAAAAAAAACTTAGATAAGGTTGTTTATTTATAATAAATCATTAAATGACCGGCCCAAAAAGTTAACCAATTAATAATAAACTTTAACCTGTTAATTAACTGGTTAAGCATATAATAATAATAAATTAGGGAAATTAATCAAATCAAATAGTATATATATTCGAGGCATTATTAATGATTACTATTGTGCGATTTTATAGTTTATAAAAATGTTAGATGAAACAAAATCTTTTTTAAATAATGAACAATTATTATGCCCGCTCATTATAAATACTACCTTTCGACAAACTATAATAATAGAGTTCATAACACCAATGCAAATATGTGATAATTATTATGATGATAAATTATAATTTACTAAGTTATATTAGTTGTATATCTACATTCTTTTGCATATAGTCGATAGTGTGAATGTGGCTTCATTTTACAAAGATTTTACAATCATAGTAAATTTCTAAATTAAAAAACGATTCAGGATTCTGGCTATTATTAACCAGGCCAATTAAGAGTGATTTACTACTACATTTTAATCTGTTTCCAACCTCCACTTGTAAGACATTTCACAATATGTTTGTATGTTAGTTAGTTGATTAGCCCTCTTAAACTTAATTAATTAATGACACCAGCTTTTTTGGTTATATGTACATTAGTACTACGGTGCAAGTCACTCTAATCAAGTAACTTTAAAGTTAAATAGGGAATATTGAATGATTGTATGAAAAAGCAGAGATAGTTTTACAATCCATCGTCGAGATAATTTTAAAAAAATTATTAATTCCAGATTCCAGAGTTATTAGCCTTTAACCCCGAAACAGTAATTATCTTGGCGATGGATTTAGAATTAGCCAATAACTGTCAAATATAAGCATTTAATCAATAACTTTAAAGTTGATGAATTTTTATTTGATGTGTTAGTGTAACCCGCCCGCACTCTACGCAGAATCTTCTTTTTTTGTTTCACTGTATACACAATAGAAACCAGGCAGATATTTGGTTGGTTTTTTTTTTAAATTAAAGTGAACAAATATTCATTGATAATCAATATCTTGTGCAACCGAATTAAATGTAATTTTCTCGTGTTTCTAATTAAGAAAAGTCTTCGGTCACTATAATAGGAAAAAGTAATAATACAATAATGAGAGGGGAGGAATTTTCTGTTGCTCATATTTTGAAGAAAAGGGTGGTTCTAAGGAGTCAAGTTGGATGTGGAACTTGATGGAAGAAACTGAAATTCGTAAAAGATGGTGGGGAAAAAAAAATCTAAAGGAGATATTTGTTGAGTTAATGTTTCCGATGGTGAGTCTATATTATACACTTATTGGAAATACAATGACCTCAAAAAGAACAAAACTTAAATCCGTTTTTATTTGAAAATATTGATAGAATGTAAAATAATCAATAAATTTAAAAATTTTGTTAACAATGAATAATTAATTTAATGATCAAATGAATATCTGAATATTTTAATTATTCACAAATGTTTATTAAATGATATAAATGTATGAATATTTAGCAGCACAATCTCTATCTATAGAAGGGCTACTGGGGCAAGTTTTCGGCAGTTTGATTTCACCGATATGGAAAATATAGATATTGTATTCTGACAGCAACTATATCTTTATGAATTTTTCTATAAGCATGTCAATTCATCCTGAAGCTCAAGCTTATGCCAAAAACGTAGAGGAAGATGCCTCATCCAAACCGGTCCTACTACTTACTTGTTTTCATGCAGTAGAAATCATCTATGAAAGTGACCTCTTGAAATCATTATGAAGAGATATGACTGGTTCCCTTATGCCCTCACACCCCAATGTTGATATATTTTCTGAAGATTTGTCAGGAAAAGAATTTCAGTCTCGTCAGTCTAAGCTCTTAAAAGGGTTGCACCTCGACAGATACAATGAGAAATTGCAACTTGCCTTCGAATTTAATGGTGGACAGCGCTATGTTCTTAATAGTTTATATCACAATGGCAGACTGATCTTGATTATCAAATCAAACATGACGAATATTGTGGTGTCCCACATCATATGACTTACAAACATAGTTGATCGCATATAAATTTTCATTAATAAGGATTTTTTAGGAGGGTTTATTATTTTTTTGGCGACACAAAAAAAATTTTAAATTTACAAACAAATTGGTGGCATCATTGGCAAACTTCGCATAATTACAAATTCAAAATAACTAGATTTACTTTTTGACGCTCTTTGCATAAAATTTGTAACATATATTCACAACTTTTACTTTGATTTTCTAGCTTAAAATAAATGCCATTGTTTATATTAAAATAAAAAAAAGGACCCTATTAATTTATTGTCCTATTTCTCTAGTATGTATTAAACTTAACCCGGAGTCAGTATCTCTATTCTTTAAAGAGTTATAATCGTTCAAATTTTACTATTGAAAAAAGATTGGCAAACAATTGTCATATATGAAAATTTATATATGTGATTGACTATGTTTGTAATCTAGGACACCCTAACCCAAAGACATATGCCTCATTGAAAGTCGATATGATGTAGATCTCTAACCTTTATCCAAGAAGCTCTAACCAAAAATAGCTATTTGATTGGCACGAATAGATTACACAAAAATTTTAATAGTGATGTATCAAGTAGATATTGGAAGCAAATTTTTTTTAACCATTAATTTAACAATAATTAAGAACAAATTACCTTGTTTCTATTATTTATGGAATAAATATATATTATACAAAGTTGAAAAGTTTATCAATTTAACAATAATTATAGAAACAACTTACCTTGTTTCTTTTGCTTGTGTCCTAAGGAAATAAATGGCCTTTTAGAGAAGATCATTCTGAAATTTTACAATTACATATAGACATATATAAAATGACCTAACTTTGAAGCCTTATAACTCAAAACTTTAATAAAATGAAAAAAGTAAACTGATGGAAATGAAGCTTAGGTTAATTCTATCAGTTTACTTTTTTCATTTTTAATAAGGAGTTATATATAAGCTTTTAAAGTCATGTGATAATCATTGACCGTTATCTATATAAGGTTTTTTTACTTTAAAATTACGTTACAGTCAAAGCTCATTAAATTCATAGGTTCGGCACAGTAAATTTTATGAATTTATCAAATTATTCCAATTTATTATTACTACAAAAGGATAGGATTTCCAGAAAAATGAATGGGATTGGCTACTTATTATATGAATTTAAAGAGCAAGATTTCATATATGGTGACATATACAAAAAGTCAGAGAGTTATGAATTTATTGAATTATTCCAATTATTGAGATTTTATTATTACTATAAATATGAAATTATCAAATAAATTTTTAATCCAAGTGGTGCTAATTCCTGAAAAATTATGAATTTAAGGAATTACAAATTTATCACATATGAATTTAACAAGCTTTGACTGTATACACATAAAAAATTAGTATAACATTTCAAATGTCCACCATGCTTATTATTATTATGCTATCTAAAAAGAAAATTATGTAAATATAATATTCCCAATCTCATCATTGTAGTGCAAATGATATCCCTTGTATTTCTTTCATCAAGTTCTGTGCTAAAGATTTTCTAAAGATGAGATAAAATTGAAGATAAAATTGAACATTTATCTATCTTGTAAAACAATTTTACATTTTGCATTTTGCATGAGTTAACTATAAATCATTGATTTCTTTTAAGAGTACATATACATATGCATATACAATATAAATATGTGTTAATTAATTAATTAATCAATTAATCAATTGCTTTCATTCAAATTTTAATTTTATGGATCACAAATCTCACATCTTCATATAAATGCCCATGTTCTATTGTAGATGTGATTTTTTAATTCATGTTCCAACAAGTAAAGGAAAGGACAAAATTCTCAATTAATACTTTCAGATAATTTTATTTATTCATACCATTAAACTAGGTACAAAACAATTGTAAAATTAATATAAATTTCAAAAAAAAAAATTTTTAATGAATTTTCTTTTTGACAAATATATTTGTTTTTCTGATGATGTTAACATAATATGGGTATACTGCAACAAGATATTTTGTTGCTAAATGTTACAATCATACTTGGTAATAGTAATGGTTATAGTGGTTTGTGATCTTAATATTAAATTAGATGATTTTAACTTTCAATGACTATATTAGGAAAACAATGAAAGAAAAATCAAACTTGAAAACTGGTATTTTTTTTCCACTAAGAATTATATATTGTATAGTCTTTCAGAAAATTTTGGCTTTAGAGATGTTGATATTCTCAATCTCATTTTTAGATTTAGTCACAAACCAAATAAAAATCAAAAATGCAAGCTTTTTATTCTCATTATTGCAATATTGATTTATTTTTTTCTTTTAATTCTTTTAATGTAGTAATTATAAAACCTAAAAAAGTTATATCTGCTATTCATAATCATATTTATTATCATAATTTCCTTTATTATTTGAAATATTGTTTTTATATTCATCAACAGCTTTGGCAAAATCTTCCTTTTTAAGTCAGAGACAGTAGTTTAACATGATTACATTTGTAATCAGGAATAAGGTTGTGGGCAAAACTCTTCCAGAAATCAATCAACAGAGTTTTGACAGGTTACTCATTAATTGTTTTGTCAATTGCCAGAGTTTTGACAAGGTTTATACTAATTGTTCATTAGAGTTTTGACAGTCATTAAGTGGTTTTGGCAAGCAACCTTAATCAAGAAGAATGTAAATTTTATTTTTATCAGTAATACTGTAGCTTGCTTTTTTTTATTATTGTTGGATTATCATCAATAAGACATTGAAAGTCAGGATATTTTCTTTAACTTCATCTAAAGGACAGTCAGAATGAATTTCATTTATATAGAGGAAAATACATATGGCTTTTTTTATTTTTACCTATGATTTTCCTATGATCTACCTTTTAAAAAGACTATTTTTTACCCATTTTTTCCCATATGACCCTCAATTATGATTACTTGTGGTG